AAAGAAGCAGCAGCAGGCAGTATGCAGGCGTAGCCAATTTATCCTGGTTGGGAAGCCGGCCATTCTTCAGGAAGAGCCGTTGACAAGACCTGCTACCTTTAGGAAGAAGAAGGCAGAAAGACTGATCTCCATTTCAAAGCCACGCGAAATGCTTACAGAGCTCTAGTTAGGAAACTTACAAAGATAACGGATTGCAATTTTTCAAAATGAAGAAAAGGTGGTTACAGAAATAAAAGGGCATTATTCAGAATCCTTGTCTCTTCGTCATAACATGAAGTATAATTTGGGGGAAAGAATTCCTTAATTTAGTTATTAATAAATCAAATTAAATCATTTTTAAAAATTACTTCTGTAGAGAATTTCATTTCATTTCAACCAAAGATAACTTTTTCTGTAAAATTTTTTGTTAGCAAAATGGTCTTGCATTGTGTATGACTTCACAAGATTTCTTCTACCTCAAAAGAATACATCTGTATTAACACTGGAAAATCTGTGAATTTCCATCCCCGCCCCAGACGCATGTCAATTTCCGTTATACTGGGTTATCAGAAAAGTCATGGCATGTTTTTCCATGCAAAAATGCATCATACTTTCCAACAATCCAACGGTTACGCTACAACCAAAAGCAACATGAAAGGTAAGCTACTACTTCAAATAGGTATCTTACAGGTAATAGGTAACATTACTGATTTTTTTTTTTTTTAATTTGGCCTTCACAATCCCTTCTCTTCCATTTCTCCTTTTGGAATTTTAGGCACATGCACCTGGTGTGTTTTTTAATGCCAAGCCATCAGGTCCAGAACTTGAACTGAGCACTCAGCCACATGGATTCAGCCACCTTAACCACCAGGTCACAGGCTGGCTCAATAACATTTCTTTTAACCGCCATAGAGTATGTACTCTCACCAGACAGAGACACAGAAAGAGTGGGACAGCATTCCCAGTGAGGCATGGTCACACCACAATCCTTTTTTTCTCTATTTCTCCATTCTGCCAGCATTTGGGGCATGCCCAGTGTATTTCTCAAGCTACCACTTCTGGGATCTGAACTATGGTCATCCATATGAGATCTGGCTCCTTTAACCACTAGGCTATGAGCCAGCTCTGACATTTTAAAGAGTAGTGATGTTTCAGACATTTTCCTGAAACAGTAGCTCCATGTCAGTGAAGAGTAATTAATCCATTACATAGAAAAACTTAAAAGATCAATATAGAATAAAGCTATTTATCAAAATGCACAAGCCATTTCCTTTTAGATGAATTGTTATAGCAGATATGGAACAGAATAATAGTTGTTTGAACTATATTGGGAAGCAAAATTTAGACTTCACTTTTGGCAACACTTCACCACACAATTTCTGATTACGTAGTATCCGTGTTAATAGTCAAATACCCATCTGAAGGTGAACAGCCTCCCCTCTTTTCCAGCCACGTCTGTTCTCCAAACTGGTATCTCCATACTACTCTCCACCTAAAACCCCTGCTGTCCTTGGCTGGATAGCCAAAGAGCAAGAAAAGACCTTATGAAAGCATGGAGAGCCCTTACATAAGATATAAATAAACAAATGTAAAATACAAATATAAAAATACAAATGTAGAATAAATTATATAAAGCTGAGCATTTACTTTTATCCTTATGATATTTGCATCAAACACATATCTTAGAGAATAAGTCTAAATGTATATTTCCCATTTATTTAGTAAAATATTTAGTGTAACTCAGAAAAAACAGACAGTACTCTTGGGCCAACAGATGGCATGGAGGTTAAGGCTACTAGATCCAGCATAGACAACTCCAGGGTTTGAGTCTTGGACCCAGTAGGTTAAAAAACATGATGGGTGTGTGTGCGTACCCAAAATCCCAAGAGGAGAATGGAGAAGGAACTGTGGCATGGCCATCCCTTCTGGGGGTGATTTCTCTATCTATCTCTGTGTCACTGGCAAGCATACACACCCTACAGAAAACTTCAAAAAGAAAAGATTTTTAAAAAGAGACAGTACCCTAGAATAATCTTTACATTTGTAATTTGTACTTTCACATTCACTCTGTCATGTAAACCCTCTCAACAGCCCTGAGTGACAGGAGATGTCACTGTCTCTCCCATCCTCCAAGTGTAAAATGTTAGAAAATACAGCTGGACAGGAGGTCATTGTTTGTCTTCTTTTTATTGCTAGAGGGTATGTGTACTCACCAGAGAGAGAGGAAAAAAGAAAGAAAAAGAACTCCCCAGTGGGCCACGGTCATGTTGCAAACCCTTTCCTTCATTTCTCCATCCCAGAGGGACTGGGCTGTACATGCACAGGTGCCTGGCATGATTTTTAAGCTGCTGAGACTGGAATTTGAACTGTAGTCAGCCTTGTGAGATCAGGCATCCTTAACCATTAGGCTACAGGGCCAATCTAGGAGAAGGTATTAACAGCAGAATGCAAGAATGTTGGGTGCACTGGACTAGTGAGAGCAGACTAAATTTGAGATTGTGTCACTTTTTGCTTTGCTTTTTTGTTTGTTTTGTTTTGTTGCTATAGGGTGTGTGTACTTGCCAGAGAGAGATAGAGAGAGACAGAGAGAGAGAGAAAGTGATAAATAACCCCCTACAGGGAATGGCGATACCACAATCCCTTCTCCTCCATTTTCCTCTTAGGATTTGGGCGTACACACACGCATGCCTGGCATATGGGTCCAGGACTCAAACTGCAGAGTTGGCCATGTGTGATCCAGTGCCTTAACCACCATGCTGCCTGCTGTCCCTGAGCTTTTGTCTTTGAGTTGAGGCCATAAGATGGAACAAGCTCTAATGAAGTACATGCTAAGGGGCAGGAGCTACAAGTACCCAGGCCAGAGGTACTGTGTGCTAACTGAGGGATGAGACAACTGGAAGGATATAGCCAGAATGCTAAACTAGGGAAATGTGGTCCTCTGAGAACTGTCCAAGCGTCGCCGTTGGAAGGAGCAGGAGGTGAGGGATGGGAAGGAAGACCACCAGGTCGGGCGGAAGGGTCTCACGTTCTCAAGGTCATTTCTACTTTGAGGCAAAGGAATCTGAATATGGTTAATTGGACCTGTGGTCTTTACAGAAGGTTAAATTACAGAAGCCTATTCAAGAAACAGTAAAAAGTCAGAAGTGATTATAGAGAAGTGGGTGTTAGAAGAGCCCAAAAGAGAGTTGTAGTCCCACAAATTACTTTGGGGTGGGGGCTAGGGAGTGAGAAATCACTGTGCAGTGCTGTGTCCGAGAGGCCTATGTCAGGCCAAAATCAAGTGGGAACAGAGCTTTTTCAGAGAGACCAACATTTGCTGCCTCTCGTTGCCCATAATTCCTGGAGAAAGTGAGCGAGAGAGTCAAAACGAAAACTGAGACTCAAAGCACCAAGTGCCAAAGATCACACGCTAGGACACTAGGGCCAGGGCTCGGTTACGGTCTCTGGATTCCAGAGCCCACGCTTTTTCCCCTTTGAGCCGTACTGGAAATATTATTTTAGAAAACAATTTCAATTCTAAGGAAAACCTTACCAAAATTGGAGGAAAGAGTACTAATGGCTGAATTCTGACTACCTGGCTCAACTTCCCTATCTACCGTTCCTAATCCCCACACCAGGGTTGGGTTGAATCAGATGTGATTTTGAGCAGATTTTCAAAACTCACCAATGAAGTGATTTTGCCCCAAGGTAAGCATCTCCTCCAAGAGGACAAGGCCTCCCGGAGCCTGGAGGGGGGTCACACTGCGGCCATCGATGAGAGAGCACTGTTGAAATCCTGTGGTCGTGACTTTCCACAGCAAAATCAGCGAAGCAGTGGCGTCTTGCCGGATTCTGAAAACAGGAACAACAGAAACAGAAAGTCCCTTTCAGAAAAAGACATCTTGGGACCAGCCCAGCGAGTTAAAAATCAAGATGGAGGCCACACATCCATCCACAAAGGCACTGGGAAGGAGGTGAAACCCTATAAGCAAGCATCCACCGAAACTCACCACCATCGCAGTTCTCCACATTCGTTAGCAAGATCTGCCTCCCACTTGTTCAAAATATACCACCAAGTGACCAGTGGGTAACTCACCTCCGGGGAGCAATTTCAGTGAATAATGCAAGAGTCCACTGGGCTTGTTTTTACAGACAAATTCATTCATATCCACACAATCTAAAGAGGCTGGAGGATTTGTATTGCAAATATGTGCTGCAGCCCCACATGGTCACCCGAGTCACACTGCCAAAACAAGAGAAACCTGGCCCTCTCCCATCCCCGTGCCTCCCGCACCCTGGCTTATTTTCTGTCTAAAAGTCAGAGTGTGGTGCAGTAGAAGGCCCGTCCACCCTGGCCCCGGCGCCCTCTTGGCTTCAGGCTGCACCTCCATCCTGGCCAGCCAGTGGTCCAGCATCACTCTTCCACAGCCCAGCTCTCCTCCAACCCCAAACTTTGTACCTCCTTCCCCCACTGGGAAACGTGTCCCCAGCCCACGTGAGATCTTTTCTCAGACACCCTGACCCTCTTCCCGCCATCCCAGCAGCTGCCCTTTCACCCCCTTTCTTCCCTATGCCTCTGAAGACCTGTCAGAGGATCACATTCAACACTTCACACAGACCTGGGCCCGATAAAGGTTTCACAAGTGACTCGATTCGTGAATAAGCCAGAGCGGAATGGGCTAGCAACCCCAACAAAGTGTTCAGAGGGTCCAGAGATCACTGCATATTCCCACCTCTGTTATTTCTGTCCAGTTCTGCAGCCTAAAAGTCTTAGTGTCAGGTTTGCTGAGGGGGAAAAGCCCACATAAAGAGATTTTTAAAACAGAACTATTTGGGAAGGCTTGTAAAGGTAAAATAATATGATTTAGGCAAGAAAGGGCTGAGACAGGGTTCTGTAAAGAGATCTGGTGATCAGTACGTCCCTAAAACAAGCTCTGGGCCTGGGGGTGGGGGATGGAGGGAGTTCCTCTGTGGAGAGCAGTGAAACCCTGAGGCCCAGGCTCCCCCTGCTGGTAGAGCTCGGAACTGCCTTAGACTCCACTTCTCTCCAGTGGGGACATTCC